ATATAATCCAACTGTGTCCACAGTCATTTTAAGTGTGAATGGTCTAAGTGAATTTAAAGACAGAGACTGAATTTTCTAAAATTCCAAAACTACATTGTACAATCAAACTAGCTTATACTGGATTAAGAAAAGGGGGGGGGGAGCAGGGAGTTGACAGAAGAAAAGGGAATGGCCAGATTTTTGGAGGGTATAAGATCTGGAGTTGTTGCTCAGGTTGGCATTGAACCCTGGACTCTAATGGTCCCATTGCTTTGACCTCCCAAGTTCCTGGGACTACAGGCACACACCACGGCACCCGGCCCAGACTGCCAACAGCAGAAATAAAATAGGGAGTGACCCTATTCATAAGGTAATATTGGGAACAATGCCGTGTGAACAAATTTGACCAACTCCTTGAAATAGCCAAACTACTGAAACTATAGAAAAAGAATTACATATGGCCAGTGACCCTACATTTATTAAATAGATATAATTAATATTACAATTTTCAAAAAAACAAAGCACCAGGCTTAGGTGGGTGAGGAAAAAATTATATAAATTCTCTACATTCTCTTCCAGAAAATAGACATAGAGGTGACATTTCTGAGCTCGTTCTCTGAGACCAAATATACAGATAAAGACACTGTAAGAAAAGAAAACTGTCCTTATACATATCCTTCATGAAAACTGTAATTCCAAAACATGATTATCAGCAAATCAAACCTAAGTATGCCTTAAAAATTGTACACATTGGCCAAGCATGACATTTTCCAGATGTACAGGTCTGGCTCAACATCTAAGAATAAACCTAATTCATCACATCATCAGGGTCAAAAAGAAAAATCATATGACTTATACCAAAAGATACAGAGAAGTTATTTGACCAAATACAATACCTAGCTTTAATTTTAAAAGACAAACACTCACGGCAATTTTGGAATAAAGGTAAAATTCATCAATTTGGTTTTTTTGGGTTTTCTTTTTTATGTATTTGGTACAGGATCTCACTACGCAGCTTGGACTCAAGAGTGATCCTCCTGCTTTCCGCCTCCCCAGCGCTGGGATTACAGGTGCACGCCACCACGCCTGGTCTCGGTTGCTGGCTCAGGGCGCCTGGGTGGGGCTGGCATGGATGTGGTACGGCCATCAAACCCAGACCCTGTGCTTGCCTGACAGGTGCTTAGTCTGCTGAGCTATCCTGCCGGCCCCACCAACTTGATTTTTAAAAATACCTACCACAAAAATCCTGCGGCTAGCAGCATAATTAATGGTGACAAGTTAAATGTGCTCCCCACTTAAGCTGAGGGTAACAATATTATATCAATCCAAGTTTAAATAACTCATGGCTTTTCTTATATGGGACGCCCAAAGTAGAAATAAAGAACAAATTAAAATATGGAAAATAGGAAACGGAGTGACAGATCTTTTCCAATGGGAAGGAGGCTGAGGGATGGAAAGGGGCAGCAGAGGTGGGGAAGAGAACATAAAAAGAATTAAGGTGTGCAAGGGACGTGCGCCTACTGCCCACAAATGTCGTCATGATGTACTGTGAATACTCACTAATAAAAATGTTTTAAAAGTAAAACATCTTACATGAATTTTACCTCAATACATTGTTTTCAAACTCTAATAATACTTCCTTTTAGGTTATGAATATTGTCTTCTAATGGTCTTTAGAAGCCAAGAGAACGATTAAGGTCCTAAATAAATAGCCTCTAATTGTAAATTAAACAAAAGGGCTGCCTGCATGTGTCCCTGCACAGCCCGCCTTTTGGGATCCTGTGGCCGCCGTACCAGGAGACTGCATCCCACTAGCAGGTAGCAGACCCCACCCGAGCGTACCCTAGAGTCCTGACACCATGCAGGCATTAAAGGTCACAGGGCAGAAGCCCGGGCCCAATGGCTGTGCTCACGGAAAATGAGAAGGGAGAGAGAGTGAGCTGCTCACTAACAGCAGCCGCTAGGATCGCGCTGCGTCTGGGATGCGAGTGGTCATTTGTTCCTGTACGCGGGGTCTCAGTCTGGAAACCAAATCACAGGCTTGACCGTCTCCCCGACCCCAAAGCTCCACACTTCTGCCGCAGAGCTGGGGCAGGGAGGTCTGAGCTCGGCACAGCGTCCCACCTCCACCGAACCTTACCTTGACAAGGTGTCTCTGGGGTGCACAGGCCTCCCTCCCCGGTAACCATGTAAATCCTTAGAGGCCCGAACCAGTAATCGGTTCCAAGTGGAGCTCCCCGGGCAGCTGAGAAGACAAGTTTAGCAAAATAGGAATTCTCAATTCTTTTAAATTAACAGAGTATTGATTTCTATCTCACATGTGTGTCTAACAAGGCTCCTGGGATAAAAGACGTAGCTATGACCCTTACTCAGAACTTACGTTTGCTGAGGACAGAGGTTGTGTCTCCTTTGCCTGTGCTTATTCACAGCCTAGCAGAGCAACCATTATGAAAGATACTCAGAAAAAACCTCCCCGGCGAAGAGTCTATCAAGATGGCCAGATATTGTCATTAAAGACCAATGTACCGCCCGAGAAGAAAGCATTTCTGTCCCCCTCTTCCCCCCCCCCCGCCCCATTTCACTTATAAGAATGCTTGTGATGGAATTCAGGGCCTTCCAAGGTAATCCAGGGCCATCTTATCCCATGATGCTTAGATGAATTACATCTACAAAGACCTTTTCTATAAGTAGGTGGCATTCACAGCTCTGAAAGTTAGGACATGGTGTATCTTCAGGATCCACGAGGAATCTACCACAGTGAACTCTGACCTGTGGCACAGGACCGGAAGCAATGTATCCCGCTTCCAGGTCTGGCCTGTGAACACTTCCTAGGAGAGATCTTTATTTTCTTTCGCTCTGTGCTGGCTACTCAAAGAGGTCATGGGAGCTCGCATAAGAGAGGCGGGATTCTGTCATCCAGTGTACCTGAAGGCTGTAGCCTGGAACCCTGTCTTGCCTGTCCTGATTGGTCTGTAAATAACATAGGCAGTAGTATCTACTAGTTTACAAATTGAAAACTTGTAGTTTAGCTATTTCAGCAGCTAGCAGCAGTTATCATAAATCACTCTAACAGCACCCTCTTTACCCAATTACCCTCCTTTCTCAGACTTCCCACATTATTTTATTCACTTGTATGTTTGCCTATTTTTATGACTCTTACTGGACTGTAAGTTTAATAAAGGCAGGGGTTATTTATGTTGTCCATGGTTATTTTCCTGATTGTCTGTCTCATCTTTGTTGTACGTGATAAATATTCAGTGTATATGTGTCAAAAACATGACTCAAACAGTCCTGACGAAGCAGCTCTGCAGAGGGGAAGGGAATCCTTCCACAAGCAGCCCATAAAGCATGACAGGCAGTCAACGCAGAGGAGGTCTGCCTCCCAAGCCCTGGCACTAGGGTGGAGGTTGGAAGTGGGTAGCTTCCAACACCTAAACCATGGTATAATCAGACCAGAGCAGTTCAACATATTGGACAAACTTTGAACAAGTGGCCTACGACCATTCCAAGTGCTATACAACTTTTTTTAAAAATTTGGTACAGGGTCTTTCTGTGCAGCTTGAACTTGTAGTGATTCCCCCTGTTTCAGCCTCCAAATACTGGGATTACGGACGTGCACCACCACGCCCAGTTTCAGTGGCTGGCACAATGCACCTGGAGTTTTACAGCCAGCATGGCATGTAGTACCAGAGATCAAACTTGGGTCTTTGCGCATGCCAGGCAGGCACTCAGACCACCGAGCCATCTCCCCAGCCCTACTATGCAGCTGTTGAGACCCTGAACCTAGTTCTGTAGACTAAGAAACAGACCTTAATGAGAACACATACAGGAACTCCTATAGTTGCCTGATCCTTAGCTCATAATTCTAAATAGAAGCCCTCAGTACTATGAGGTAACATTGAATTCAAGACCCCGTATGCAGTTTTTATGAGCTCCCAGGCATCTCTGTACCAAAGAACTGGACTTCCAAGTGTCCCTGGTCCTGGACTTCCCGTAGCAGTTCGCCATCTGTCCGCAGGACACCCTGTTATTTTACAGCTCCAGATACATTCCATCCTCTGGATGAGCAGAAGGCAGTCACCTGAGTGCAGCTGGTGGCCTCCTCGGCCTTGCCATCACTGCACTGTGTCATTACAGGTAACTGTAAAAGCTCATCTTGGGCCCAACGCCCTGTAACACAGCTGTTCCCCAGCGTTTTGCTCCTTCTGCCTACAGTCTCCTTCTGTACGCAGCATACACTTGCCAGCCTTCACTTTACCAAGTATCTTGGAAGCAGCTCACCAGTCAA